AAAAAAAACGGGCGTCACAAAAAGATCTAAGCTTCTTAGATCATCGACAAAATTATGATTTAAAATAAGTTCGAAATTTTAACAACTAAACTTTAACATAGACTATATTTGGCAAGCAAATCATAGAATTGCCTTTATTATAATGAGGAACAGGCTTTGAAGAGCAAATTGTGGTACATGAGAAAAAACTGAGAGATGTTACACATTCCCTATGTGAACATTTTCCCAGAAAACAAAGCAGACTCTTCATAGAGATCAAAACAATAAAAAGAGTAAAGCAGCAGCAGCAGCAGACAAACAAAGAGAGGCTAATAAAACCAAGGGGGAAACTTACTGAAGATTGGACTTTATTTTTGTAGGATGGGTCTTGTTCTTCAAGCTCAGCTTCAAAGATTTAGTTAAGGAAATACCAGATTTGTGGTGACAACAACTGCACTAGATCATTGAAAGGTGAAATTGAAATTTGTTTCTTCTTTTTCTTCCTTTATTTTTTCCTCGGCTTCTGTAGTGTTAATTACTGAGTGCTCATGGGACTTTGTGGATCGTTGAGAGCCGCAATGGCAGTTTCTATTTTTATCCTCAGGTGCTCTCTCTCTTCTTCTTCTGCCTGCACAAAACTCAGATAAAGCAATTTATGGAGTAAAAAAATCAAGTACAAAGATCACATTCATGATAAACCGAACATGCATGATCACACAGATTGCAATATAACTGAGTTGAGTGATTACTATTTTAAAATTTTGAATGCATAAAATATAAATTAATAGGATTTTCCTCACATATAACAAAGATTATGACAGGCTTTGCAAAGTCAGGGTCAACGATGTACAACACACTGGGAGAAAGTTCGACAGACAAAAGTTGAGGCCATCAAGAGTTAAGCACCGTATAATATAATTGAATATAGTAATTAATTATTTAAAAAGTTTAAATAAAAAATATTCAACTTAATTATTCATATATTATCCTCTATATATATTTATGCATATATATATATATATATATCATTCGTATTTCTACCGAAATAATTTAGTATCTTTGAGTTGGTCAGACACAAATAGAAAAGTTTAATGAGAAAAAGAAAAAGTGCTCTTCTTTCTGTTTGATTCAGTAAGCCATGGATCTCATATGTCAAAAACTTATTTTTATTTGATTTATTGTTTGTTTGTTTTTA